TACTGGAAACGTCTTCTCCATGTCCACTCCTTCCAGGCCTTTTAGTATTCTGTAAGTTTCAAAGAGATTCTCTGTCATCCATCTAAACTCCATTGAGTACAAACCCAGAGTCCTCAATGACAAGATGTTCCTCATCTGAAGTCAGTCTAATGCTGCATGAGTTATTTACATGTTACAGGGAAGCAGAAATCAGGGTGAGAAGAGTTGAGGGAGCAAAAATTATTTCTTTCATTCTGGTAAGCCTCAGTAAAACAAAGAAAGCACACTGTCAGAACAAGCCTTGTGAGCAAAGGCCTTTCACCGAGATAAGAAACAGCTGTACAATTTGTATTTAAGGGCTTTCCAGCCTGTCAGTTTCACATGGCCATCAGTCCTGCTGGCAATAATCCTGCCTTTGGTGACCCTGGCTATTTCATACAGCTGCAGAAACCCATATGCTGGATGCTGAAGTTAGAACACTGAGTTAAATGTCAGATCCAATTTCCTCTTTGCATAATCAAATTATGTACTTGATGTTTTTGCTGGGACTTTCTGTGTACCTTCAAACACGGTGTGACAGAAACCAAAGGGTGCAGGATCTTGTCGGATTGCTGACATGCTACAATTTCTTGGCGATATAACCCCTTGGCCACACTCAATCCCCACCCCCTCTTGACAGCTAAACTTTGCATTGATGGCGATGAAGGGAAGGTGAGGTGATTTTCATTCCATATTGCATACAATTGGAGTGTTGGATCTTTGGGACTGTGGGATATTTGTCCTGTAGCCGAAGAACTAGTGCAAAAGGAAACGATTGCCATTTAATTCAGTGGGCTTTCCCGAATAGAAGCAATATGAAGCTTTCACTGGCTTCCCAGCAACCTATCACAGCCATTACATAGTGCCCCATGTGTTTATTTGACCTTGACCAGTTGGATATGTATCTATTAGAATATTGTCTTTTCATGTAACAAGTTTCTAAACATAACGCAGTTTATTGTTAAAAAGTAAAAAAATTCACATCTGCAGTGAAGACTTGGAGACTTGCTTCAGTTGACGAAACAGATAAATGTATAGTACAGAACTAAATTCATCTTTCCAATTGTAGTCTAAAAGATTAAGATGTTGGTATTTAAAACAAAAAAAAACACAGGAAATTATAATTTAAAATGATTTTCCATTGTTCAGCAAATGAGGACACCTCAAATTCTTATTTGAGAGACAAGATGCATGATTGTTTCCTGTATTTTACTATCAATATGTTTGAACGTTAACTCAAAAAATTTTGCTCTTGTTATCGCTGTCAGTGAGCCTCTTAACTACAGCCCATACTATACTAACTTAATAGTAGTTCATGTTTTGAAATCACTTCCTTTGGAAAATGCACTCAAGTACACTTTAAGTTCAGAGAGAAAAGAACATTAGGACCAATTTTAATCCATATAATTGAATGGGTTCTGAATGAGGTCACAACCTCTCCCATTCAAGTAAAGAGAGGTTACAAATGCAGGGTACATGCATTGCAAATTAAAACGGACACATGGTCACATTTTAGAATTAGCAATTTTTCACTAATTATAAAAATACTGATTTTCAACTTGATCTTGTATTGATATATTCTTAATATGGTATTTGCATTAAAAAAAATAACAAATGTTGGACAAGTAAGACCAGGGTTGGATTTTATTGTTATTTCTGGGCATGTCTGCAGTGCACTTTGTATATTGTTGGATGGCAAGTCATCCAAGCCAGCAATGACAAAACAGAAGGCAAGTGGGTAGCAAAATTGGCATCAATCCACCAATAATAAAAAACAAAATGAACAATTGAATTGGCCCTAATGTTATGCCATAATATGGTTTGCGTGGGTAGGTGCATGAGAATTGAAAGGTTGTTTTGTTAAGCCATTGGGCTCAGAGGAGGGGAAGAAAAGTGCTTGGTCTGTCTTTCAGGAACTGCTGTGGGCATAAAGTTGACACATCTTGCCTCCCCTCCACATTCTCTTTGTCACTGCATGCCTGACCACCAGAACCCACCCTGAGTCAAACTGCCTTCTGTCTCTAGGTTTCCCCACTTAAAGGCTCTGATCTCTGTGGGCCTCCTGTAGTCCCAGCACTGGCCACTGCTCAGGTCTGACACTGCTGTGACTGCTAGAGCTGTCGACCAATCTGATTGCTCCCAATTTTCCACCATCTGATAGGCCCTTGACTTTTTAAGGCTGTGAGGAGCATGTGATCGTTATGGGACAGTTTTCTTAATATCCCTCCATTTGAGACCTCCCAAAGTTTTCTTCTGGGTGGGGGTGACAGGGAAGGGGTACCAGCGGAGAGCACCTCCCCACCCATCCCTCTCCTTAGAATTCAGCCCCAGGATCCATTTGATTTACCTTCAACCTTGTGGTAGTCTCATGGGTACAAAGTTTGGAGTAGTTTACTAATAATAACAATCAATCTAGGGCAGTTGTCTGTATAAAACCCAGAAATTGGAGTCCCCTCCAAAGAAATTACTGGGAAGCTTTGGAAATCTTGGTTCCGTAGTTATTTTTCTCTCCTGAGCACGCTACACTTATGGCAATCACATACAGCATGCCTCAACTTACTCATATACTGTATCACTAAATGATGTTTTTTGGAAGGAATAAATCTAATTTGTGAGGGTACTGTGAGGTATTGTTATATATTTTAATGCTTAAGAGCAAGAAGGAAGAATAGTTAAATCTGGTTGCTGAGTGACCCTCCTACAGTTTGAAAAGTGCTTTCAAGTGGTGTCACTTTTCCTGCACAACTCGGAGGAATTTTTCATTGTTTACTTGTGTCAACTGCTTGTAGGTCTTCAATGCTTTACTGGTTTTCAGTGTAGGATGTTCATTAAATGCTGTTGCTGGTATACGTTCCCCTTGTTTAATTCATGTATTTGTATCAAAAGTTATGTGGTGCTTCACCATCACAAGATGTGTTGCATCTTAACACTGATATTGAGATTTGTTCTGGGCTGTAAAACTTAACTTAGCAAATAGGAATGAGTATAAAGAAGTAGATACCAGTGCTGGGCATGACCCTTCAATATCTTCCACAATTAAGTGGGTTCAGGGTAAGGACCATGTAATGTATGTGTGTGGGTGTGTACTTGGATGTCACATCATTCTGTAAAAAGCCAAGACAGCAGCTCAGAGAGAGAGCCATCTTATGCCTGTGACACAAATTTGGACTTTAATTTCAAGAATGAAGGAACAGTATTGAACACTGTAACTGGAGCTATCCTTCCAATCACACTTCATTCTCCAAATAATTTTATATTCTTACTTTTCAAATGTTTGCATTTTTTGCTTTGCTTTGGACCTGCATCCTAGCTGGCCACTCTATTCTAACCAGCTGCAGTCTTTTGGGTTCTTTCTTAAATTGGTTATATCTACTTTCTTGTTGTTACCTGCGAGCATTGATAACCTTGTGCTCATCTCCAAATCACTAATCATTGAAAATACAAATGCAGCAAAAGGTTCTCCAGTATAATACACTTGGGAGGCATGTATTGTATGTGGGGTATGGGAGATATGATGGAGCATGAGGTGTCATGAGGATGTTAGGGTGTTATGCAGGGGTCAGTGAAGGGGTGAGATAGATGACAGTTTGAGATCCCAGCATTCATGAGTATAAAAGAGCTGATGTTGTCAAACTTTGTTCAATTGATTATATTGCCCTCTAAAAACCTACTTTTTCTTTGAAGAGGTTACTCACTGCCTGTATGTTTACTCATGTAAGATTATAAGAACTTCCCTGAGAGGCCATGAACCACATATACTTACAGAAGGGCCCAACTCCAATAAAATTGTAGGGAGATATTGAACTGCTCACAACCACGATGAAGCTGGCAAGGGCAGGAATGCTGAATGCAAGCTTGCTCCCTGCACACTAATCCTGTGCTGGCAGAAATGACTGGAAACAAGAATGAGATTGAAAACCCCAGAATTGGGTGCTGCCTATTTTTAAAGGGCTTCCAAGATGGCCTAAATTGGCAAAAATCCAGGCTGCGACTTCTTCAAATAATTTAATTAATTGCTCTGTACAAATCCATGCTCATTAGCCCCAACTGCACCACACCTAAGCTTCTCTCTCCACACATTCTTAAGTTTACCCAATTGTTTTTCTTTAAAAATATTAATTTTAATCTTTTTAATGGCAATATATTAAGAAATTTGAATGTCAAAATTGGTCAGTTTTTTTCTGGCAGTGGGATTTGTGAGCTGCCCAAATCCCTCTTAAAATAGAAATGAGAAGGATACAAGTTTTATCGGCCCAACTCACTTAACTGAGTGTGATTACCTTTCAGCCCTGATGGTTCCTGTTCCCTTGCCCCTGTGGCAGCCAGAAGCCTTCCATAATTCAGTGCCCCTTCCCTTTGGACAGCCTGACTAAGAAGAGAAGACAAACTGCACCACATCCTGTTAGTGTCTGCTCTTTACCCTCTACTGAACACTCAGGCAGGCAATAGCATAGACTCTGTTCACCCCAGTGTTACCATTGAAGAACTGAAATGTGTTTGCAGCCGAACTCCATCATAGTTCGAATGGAAATTGTGATCTTGCAAAGGGCTTCCAGCCCAATGTATTTTTACTTTGCCAATGCATTACTATGTGCATAATGTGTTGGAAAGCATCTATGATACTATTATCTCTTATCCATCAATGATAATGAGAAACAAAATAATCACAGTCCATTCTGAAATCTAAATAACTGACAAACCTCTAAAGGTACATTCTCCATACATCAAGATTTACTGTATGATCTATGAAATAGTACTAACAGTTCAATGAGAACATGGATAACGAATTATTGGATGAGATCTTTGTCAGAGAATTATATTCTATGACATAAACATACAGAACCAATGAACAATATGTATTTAGCAAAATTTGTAATATATGAAGCTGGCCACCTGGTATATTAGTTATCTACTTTGTTGGATTATGTAAACACCAGAAATGATTAATCTCTTTTGATTATGTGTATATTTTTCTAATGCAGTTCAATGGATGTAGCAGTCAGTTTGAATAATGGGCAGTCATTCATCTCCAGTTCAGTCACCATCACTGCCACAACTTGCGTAAGTAAAGAAATTTATTCATTTACTCAGGCCATTCAAGCAGAAATCAACACTGTGCATGAAATAAAACATTACTTCAAAAGTTCATGTTCAAAACATTATCACAGTTCAGCTTAGCCATTTACTTTCACAATATTGCAATACAGCTCAATGTTAGTATAATACTCAAATGAATATGATTTGCTGCTTGTCTTCATCTGTTAAGATGTACATTAAAATCCGATGTAGTATTAGCATAATAAATGTGAAAGTTACTTAGACCAGTTTTATGTAATTGAGCTCCTAACAAAATGCTAATTACAGGTTTGTAAGCTCTTAAAGCATGAGAGTAATGTGACACACATATGACATTGTAAAATAGCCTTTTATCTTTTGAGGACATATTAAATTTATAAAAGTCAATAATGAAACCAATCTTATCCACATTTTATTCAGTATTTTCATGAAACGGGATAGACTATTAAATTCATGAGTCTGTCAGGCATCTAGAACAATTCACCAGATAATCATCAGATCTCTTATGGAGTGTTATCTAGACTCCATATGTTAGCTTGCTCTCTCTCCAGGATGCTGCTTGATTTGCTGTGATTTCCAGCATTTTTTGTGTTCAGTACTGATTCCAGCATCTGCAGTAATTTTCTCCCCCACGTTTAACTGTCATCCTGGTGCCACTGATTGTTATTTAACTAAAGCATCACTGATCAATTTGAAAATAGTTGGCTGATGAGAATTTAGACTGAATCAAATTGGATTTGAATCAATTTTTGTTTTAATATAGCATAAGATGTAGGAAATGTTTTGCACGTCTATCAACATAAAGAGGACAGACTAGCTAATGGTTATGTATGAAGCCTTCACCAGAACCTCAACTCAAAATGAAAATACTGCTGAAAATTAAAGAAGATAATGCTGGAAATGCAGGAGAAGTCAAGAATAAGAAAGAATCTTATTTTAGATTTAGACAACTGAGTTCAATTGAATCTCTTAATCAATATAAAGAGTGTAGAAACATTCTAAAGAAAGAAATCAGGAAGGCAAAGAAAGGATATGAGATAGCATTGGCAGGCAAGGTTAAGAATAATCCAAACAGATTCTACAAATACGTTAAGAACAAGAGGGTACCGAGAGAGTGGGTAGGGCCTCTTAAAGATCAAAGAGGCCATCTTTGTGTTGAACCCCACGAAATGGGAGAGATACCAAATGAATGTTTTGTGCCATTTTTTAATGTGGAGAAGGAAATGGAGTCTAGAGAATGCAGAGAAATAAACTTTGATGTTTTAAAAACAGTTCACATTACAGAAGAGGAAGTTCAGGAGGTCTTAATGAATATAAAGGTGGATAAATCTCTGGGACACGATCTAGTGTATCCCAGAACATTGTGGGAAATAAAGGAGGAAATTATGAGACCCCTTGCAGAAATATTTGCATCATCTATAACTAAGGGTCAGGTGCCTGATGACTGGAGGCTGGCTAATGTTGTACCTTTGTATAAGAAAGGTTGTAAGAAGAAACTGTGGAACTGTAGACCTATGAGTGTGACTTTGATAGTGGGTATAGTGTTGGAGGTGATTATAAAAAATAGGATTTATGGACATTTAGAGAAGCAAAAATTGATTAGGGATAGTCAGCATGGTTTTGTTGCAAGGAAAATCATGTCTCACAAACTTGATTGAGTGTTTTGAGGAAGTTACCAAAAAGATTGATGATGGCTGTGCAGTAGATTGTAGAATATTTGGATTTTAGTAAAGCCTTTGACAAGGTTCCACATGCTAGACTAATTAGGAAAGTTAGGTCACATGAGACTCAGGGTGAGCTTGCTGATTGGGTCATCATAAGTTTAATGGCAAGAGACAGAGAGTAATAGTGGAGGTAATAGGGTGTAGAGCTGGATGAACACAGCAGGCCAAGCAGCAGCAGAGGAGTAGGAAGACTGATGCTTTGGGCCTAGACCCTTCTTCAGAAAATAGTGGAGGGTTGCTTTTTGGACTAGAGGCCTGTGACCAGCGGTGTTCCACAGGGATCGGTTCTGGGTCCTCTTTTGTTTGTCATTTATATAAATGATTTGGATGAGAATATAGAAGGCATAGTCAGTAATTTTGCGGACAACACCAAAATTGGTGGCATAGTAGACAGGGAAGAAGGTTTTCCAAGATTACAAAGGAATCTTGATCAAATGGGTCAATGGGCTGAAAAATGGCAGATGGAGATCAATCTGGTTAAATGTGAGGTATTGCACTTTGGTACAACAAACAGGGTAGGGCTTATACAATTAATGACAGGGCCTTGGGTAATGTTGTAGAGCTTAGGGACCTACGGGTTCAGTTATATATTGCTTTGAAGTTTTCGTCACATATAGACAAAGTGGTTAATAAAGCTTTCGGCATGTTTGCCTTCATTGCTCAGTCCTTTGAAGTTGTGCAGGACATTGGTGAGGCCAGTCCTTGAATACTGTGTCAAGTTCTGGTTGCCTGGTTATAGGAAGGATACTATCAAGCTGGAGAGGGTTCAGAAGAGATTTACCAGGATGTTGCCAGGTATGGAAGGTTTGAGTTATAAAGAAAGGCTGGATAGGCTGGGACATTATTCACTGGAGCACAGGAGGTTCAGAGGCAACCTGATAGAAGTTTATAAAATATTGAGAGGTATAGATAGAGTTAATGGTAGTTGTCTTTTCCCTAGAATGGGGGCTTTCAATACTAGGGGCACAATTTTAGGGTGAGAGGAGAGAGATTAAGAAGAAGACATGAGAGGCAAATATTTTACACAGAGGCAGGTTCATATGTGGAATCAACTTCCTGAGGAAGTGGTGGATGTGGGTACAATTATAACATTTAAAAGACAATTGGATAGATACATGAATAGGAAAGCTCTGGAGGGATAGGGGCCAGGGGCAGACAGATGGGACTTGTTTAGTTTGCGATTATGTTTGGCACAAACTGGTTGGACTGAAGGGTCTGTTTCTGTGCTGTATGACTATAAGTCAGTGAAGAGAGAATAGCAAGCAATATTTTAACTAGATCAAAACTAATTCACGTACGCAGGATTAAAATCAGTCCCCATGTTTCAGATTGATGACCTTCTAGAAGAATCCTGAACTCATTTCTTTGTTGGCCATTTGAATGAAATCGCATTAATGTTGAGATCAAATGGACTTTTTTTACTTGCTAAGTTTGAATTAGTGAGTGGATCAGAATAATGCAAAATTTTTATCCATCACAACATTGATAATGTTTCATAGCTTTGTTCATGTAAAACTGGAGGTAAAATAAAACTATGACAATTGATCAAAATGGCAATAATGCATTGGCTGCTTGCTAAAATCACATACATTGCTGTTCATTTTCCTCACTCAATAGTTGGATTTTACCCCCAACATTTCCTGCCCATTGCATTGCTCTCTCACTTTGTCATGTTAGTGTCTTTGTCGTACTTGAGAAAAATAATCAATAAAGAAGCTGTCCGAGAGCACAATATCTGACCAAGAAGTCTGTAACTTGACATCAGAATAACCACTGTATTGACTTAGATTTAAAATAAGGACACTGTGTAGCTTTAAAAGGGAAAATTTACAACATGGAGAGTGTCTCTCTTTTCCCCTCTTCCCAACTCACCATTCCCACTTCCCACTGGCTCCGATTTTGCTAGGCTCATTGATGCCATACTCAGTCAAAACTGACTGTCAATGACAATTAGACAGATGGGGTTTAGACTTTCTCTGATTTGTGTGGACAGCACATATCTGAAGGTTGGTCTACATTGTCAGGTACTTGCTAGTCTCAGAGTTGTACTGGGATAGGTTGGCGGGGAAAGAGTCTAGTTCTGAGCACAAGTATTTTGTGAACAGCTAAAATGTTGTTGGAAATCGTTACCTCTCATGCCATCAGCTGATACTGGATATCATGTGGATTATTGGCTGAAGTCTGGTTTCCATGATTCTGGGGACCTCAGGAACAGGCTGAGATGTATCATCCAAATGGTATTTCTGGCTGAAACTAGTCGCTAACACTTTGACCTTAACATTTATCGTCATGTGCTGGGTTCCTGCATCATTGAGGATGGGGATATTTGTGAAACCACCTCTACCAGTTTGTTGTTGAATTGTCGACAACCATTCCTTATGGAATGTGTTTGGATTGTAGAACTATTTTTGACCTTTCAATTGTGGCATCACTTTGCTCAGTCTATAGCATTCTGCTTCAGCTGTCTTGCTGCTTCACCATGTTAGTACCTCACTTTTTTACTTATGCCTGTTGTTGCACCTGGCATGTTGTCCTCAACTCCTCATTGAACTGGCGTTGATCTTCTGGTAAAGACTTCACTTTAGTTGCCTTGTTCTATGTTGCTTTGATTTAACACCGTTTTTAATGATGCCAGTTTTCACATATAGCACAGTGGGTGCGTATTGTTGTTGTCTCACACTGTGGAGAGGGTGATGGAACCTGAATATTGTCATCTTTGAGAAGGCTTTCTTGCTTTCAACCATCCCACTTGCTGAATATCCCCTTGCTAACTTTTTGCTCATCAACTGTCTCTCTCACTTGCTCACCATGCAGCGTGCTCACCCTCCAGTGCAGTGACTCTTTCACTCTCTGACCCTCCATTGCACTGACTCTCCACTCAATGACCCTCCTGAGAACGTTTCCAATGTTTCAATAAGATCATTCTTCTAAACTGTAAAAAAAAGGCCTAACCTGTTTTGTTGTTCTTAATGAAGCAATTCCTTCATCCCATGAGTCAGCCCAGTGAATCTCTTTTGAACTGCCTCCAGTGCCATCTGAGGAAGTTTCACCAGACGTGAAACATTAACTCTGATTTCTCTTCACAGATACTGCTAAACCAGCTGAGCTTTTAGAGCAAATTCTGTGTTTGTTTCTGATTACAGCATCTGCAGTTCTTTCGGTTTTTATTTAGAAAAACCCAAAATATTTCTTCCAATTTTCTGACTTGAGGCCTGAAGAGGAATTGAAGATTGATTGTTACCTCACATAATGTTTTTGTTT